CCCCCCCAGTGTTTGTTCTCTCAGAGCTGAGCTCATCTGGACTCATGAGCTGAAAAGGAACCGCACATCACAACATTTCATGGGGTTTTTGCTACAGTTTCCTAAAGTAATGGCTGGAAAACCTTGGGAACAGAACAAAAAAGATCATGCCCCAGGAGTACCATAATGGGGAGAAACGATTTCCCCTTTCAGTGCAGTTCTCAAACCATTGTCACGTTCGTCAGAGCTGAGCTCATCTGGACTCATGAGCTGAAAAGGAACCGCACATCACAACATTTCATGGGGTTTTTGCTACAGTTTCCTAAAGTAATGGCTGGAAAACCTTGGGAACAGAACAAAAAAGATCATGCCCCAGGAGTACCATAATGGGGAGAAACGATTTCCCCTTTCAGTGCAGTTCTCAAACCATTGTCACGTTCGGGCCATTGTTCTGCCCTGTCCTGAGGTGCCTTCCCACTGTGCCACCAGCAGAGCCATTGCTCCATGAGTTGTGGCCACCTTGGGAGCACAACCTGGCGGCTGCCCAGCCCCACACACCAGCCCAGGCAGAGCCTATTGCAGTAAATCTTCTTGGGGCTCTGCTAAGTTTTCAGTTCAAAACTTCAGATGAGGTCATGGGCTCAGCTGAAAACTGCAACACCGGTTTCTGTGCTATTGAGTTAATTGCCTGTAAGCGAGACTGTTTACTCATAGAAACATCAAACCTTTGTGTTTACTACTAGGATTAATGTGCTCTGTGGAAGGGTTTTGGAAGCCTCAGTGGTTAGTCCCTCATTGCACTGGTGTTGTCCCAAAAAAAGCAAGCACTGCTAATATCACAGACAGCCTGAGTAGTTGTCTGAGCTGTTGTCTGCAGTGAGGGTGGGAGAACAACGGACCGCATGCAGTAAGTCATAGTACATGTGTGTCCATTATTTTGATAGTAAACTTGGGGGGTCAGTGAACCTCTTTTGTTCATGTATAACTCTGTGCACTACAGGGGCTTGGTCCAAGATAATGCAGGTACAAGTTAAATATATTCTGCAAAGGCGGTACATACCGAGATGTTCTTGCTGACGTCCAGACCCTAAAAACAAAAGGCAAATAGACTGATAAATAACAAGACAGCAAAACCATCTCACAGCGCTGGGAACAGACTGGGCTCTGTTCTCAGCTCTGCCCTGGAGTACATCCATAGCCTTGGTCAAGTCTGTTATCTCTTTACGATTCAGTCTCTCATGCCTGTGATAATACCTTCTTTACTCCTCCACCTCTCGCCTCTCTTGTATTTAGACTGCCAGTTCATGTGTATAGCACCTAGTAGCCCGGGGACTAGTGTAGCAGGACTACCATACGGTACCTGACTGTAGAAGTAAATGGGGCATTTCATGCTCAGGGTACCAAATGCAATACTAAGTGAGAATACTAAGCTGTGGCGTAACAAGACAGCATGAGGATTCACTTTATAAAGAGCACGGATCTTGATTCTGCAGTCATCAGTGGCTTCCCAAGTGCTTACAATTATGTTCATACTCCAGAAGTTGGCTGGACACAAGCCAGAGCACTGAGCACCTTTCAGGATTGAGCCTTGATTTAGTTTCTGAAGTTCATTGAAATGTTTGCAACCTATTTGCAACTTTGGGGTGGAAATTTCATGAGAAGGTCTTTCCCATGAGAGACCTACTCCTTCCTCTTTCCTGTCAGGCTGGGAATACTCTGATTAGAGCCTCTGCCCTGGCATTTCAGCACTTCTGATCCCCACCGGAACCTGAAAGTGCTGAGGCAGCCACAAACAATGGGAAAGAAAGAGAGAGGAAAAGCATTCATCCCGGCTCCCTTGGACTTCAGTGGCACGGTTTCCCTGAAACACGCTTTAGGGACTGGAGCTAATTACACCGATATGCTGCCAGTCTGGTAATAAGTGTTGCCAGCTAAGGACTGACGCACTAAAATTTTTATATGTGGTAATGAATGTGTGATTGTTTTAATCTCATTAGCAGCAGTAGTGAAGATGATACTTATGACAGAGTTTGTGTGTTGAGTTATATGGAGTTAGTGAGGGCTAAAGCCCATGCTGCTGTCTGCAGTGCTCCTCTCCCTTGCACCAGTGCTCTGTGCCTTTCTTGGCATAAAGGCATAGATATTGTCTTCATTTAAGGCTGAGATCGGAGAGGCACAGAGCACCCTGGCCCTCACTGCCCCAGCCCCATTCAGTAGCAGATAGCGTTGGCTTGTTCTCCTGGCACCCAACTCTGATCTGCCTGAGCAGAAAGAACTTCATCCTGCATCTCCCACAGGTCCCACTCTGAGTTTGGCTCCAAGCTTATCACTCACCTTTCTTATTGCGGGGTCCTTTGACGGAAAAGCCTGTCCCTCAGCCATGCTACCAGCTTCTCTGAACTCATTCTCCTTGTTGTTCCTATTGTTTGACGACTTCCTGAGCCCCACCATCGGCTGGCTGTTTCCTGATTCCGGGTATCTCTCACTTCCTGCAATGAAACACAAGGATTTGTTCACATTTCTCAGCAGTGTCCTGCTAGTATGGCCTCTGAGCAGTGCTGCCAGTAAGCTGCGACTCCAGATGGGATGAGAACCCAAAAGACTTAATGGTGGGATGAGACCTCATGTCTTGTCATGCCACACTTCAGCGCAAAGAAGGTAAATGCTCCAATAAAGTGTCCAACCACAGCAGACTTTCTAATGTCTTCCTCATGGTCTTATTTTCCTTCCAGGCCTGCTCTGAAACTGCCAGGAAAGAGCATTTCTGAGCCGCAGCACTAGAGATCCCAAGGACCATTTACACTCTGACTCAATCCTGCTAGGAGGTGCGTTGATGTTCTGCGTTTCACCAGGTATTAGAGGCAGGCTGGAGTCCAAGGTTTGCAATAAACTAATCAGCCTCGCTTAGTGGGCTGGTTCACGTCTCACATTGGATCCAGACTTTTCAGCTGGCTTTATCATCAGTAGGCTGAGCCCAGTCTTTCTCAGCCTTCTGGAAAAGTTGGTCTCTGGATCCAAGCTTTGCAGCTGGGGCTTATTTCCACTTGGTCTATAGAATAAGTCATCTTTCAGGAATGTGTTCTGTGCCTGCTCGAGAGGGTAGGAGACTAATAACAGGCATAAGGCTTTCCATCTTAAATCAAATCCTACCTTGGCTGGGGGGTATTTTAAAGACACATGGAGGGGCTCCACTAATGGACCCATTTCAGGCATGCTAAGTTTCCGAAAGAGAGACCCATTTTATAATGCATTTGTTCTAATCTTTGTAGCCACAGCTGCAGAGCAAAAGGTCCTGCTTCACACATGTGAAGAAGCAAGCGTTAAAATCCTGCATGTAGTCAGAGCATTTTAAAACACATCTCTCAGCTTTCCAGCTAAAGTTTAGTTCTGCTAACATCTTGCTCTGTTCCCATCTGTCTTTCCTAGGGAAAGGGAAGCTGCAGGTCAACTTATTTCACCAACTGGTGGCAAGCAGGAGGGCATGTTAGAGGTATTTGAACTCACCATTGCAGCTGCTCAGCTTTTCAGTGTTTGCTCCTATTTCTGGGATGATGGAAAGATCAGAAGGGTTTCCAGTCTGAACCAAGAGGCTGTGAGGTCTGCTCCTCCCAGCAAAAAACGTCTTCACGTCTTGGTACGAGTTGAGGAAGACGCTGGCAGCTCCACAGGAGCAATGTTGCAGAAGGTACTCCTACACCAGGCAAGAAGAAAGTATGCAGGCACTCAGGTGAGCGGGCAATGCGATGGTACAGGCAAATTGCAATCATTCCATCCCAGGGATGCCCAGCCTTGTCCTGAGACCCATCAGGACCCAGACTAATTATTTAACTCTCTAAAAGGCTGAGGAACCCGGTGTTGGCAATGTAGAGTTTCCATGGTTTTCTTCATGGGTTCATTGGTGTTTAACTTAAATTGCCTGGTATTCAGCATCTTTTGGGGTTGTTTCCCAGAAGGAATTGAATACAAGTTTCCAAACACAGAGCTGCTTGGCTAAGGCATTTGTGTAAATAAACCAATCATCTGTTGTAACAGTGACTTGCATTTAAAGACAATGTTATTTTTTTTGGAACGTGCACAGACAGCAGCATGTTGCATTTTTATTGATGGGATGCCATAGTTCTCGTACATGTTACCAGTGAGATTCACTGTATGTGGTACTTCAGCTGGTGTACTGCTACAGCCGGTATGGTGGGAAGGGGAGATTTTCTATCTTGAACAATCATGTTCCACGAGAGTTTAGGAGGGCAGGAAGCAAGGAGAGCTTTATCCAGCTGAAGTGGAAAGGGCACCAAACTGTTTATTGCTGTTGGACTCCGGAGACCCACAAGCAACTGACAGTTTTAATGTAACATCTCATCTGGATATGTTGCCACAGCAGCATGGCACATTGCAGTACCTATACCTTTGAGTCGTGCTTTGAAAATCTGATGAAAGATGCTGCTTTTGGCCCAGGGCATTAAAGACTTCCTTGTAAAGCAAAGGATGTGGAGTAACTGTGTTCCCTTTGTGTTCCAGGATCAACACCATACCCAGCAGCACCTGCTGTGGTTATGTCTGGTCTTTTCATGAGGTCATCAAGATGGTGAGATCCAGCAGGATCACAGCAAAGGTAAAGAAGGATATATCCCTCTTTTTGTTTATTTGTTTCCATTTTGTTGTGTTTAAAGATCCATGATTGTGGTGGCAAAAGTTGTTGTCTACAACTGCACAGCATTTTGCAAAAGATCAAATGTTTCTCTGCCAAAGACATGCTTAGAAGAGTTATGATAAAAGAAGGTTTCAAAATGTTCTAAGTTTTCAATCATCCCACTTGGTCAAGGCTAGTTCTGTGAATGCCTGTGAGTGCCTTCAGCTTCCTGTGATCTTACCTGCCTAGTACTTTATGGAATAAACCAATATAGCTCTGCCAGCTTCAGCAACCTGCATCATCTGAGTGCTTCTGGAAATGTCATCAAGTCTCTGTGGTGATGTTTGTACAGCTCTCAAAAAAGGCATTGGGAGCACTGGCCACCTACAGTCCTCATGACCAGCTCTTAGTAGCACACTAACCCATCACTGCTCTGGGGATTGTGTCTTTCCTAGCCATGTCTGGGGCATGGAACATTTCCATGCTCACAGTCTGCATGCAGAGTCAACATGGTTTGGAAGGTAGCCTTAGGACACCCTCCAAAGCGTGATGTGCATAGCAACCTCCACATCTCATGGCAAACTGGGATAGTACCATTCCTCCTCTACACAGAGGGGGTGTGACTCTGAAGAGGAAAATGATGGAGAGCTGCTCAGATATAGGAGGTGCAGACACCACAGAGACACCTGAGAGAGACACACAGTTTTGTAGAGCACATTGAAAGTGCTGAACGTTACATCTAGGAGTCCAATTCCCCACTGAACAGTATGGGACAAAGGCAGCTGAGAAAGCACTGCTGAGAGATCTTAGAAAATACCAAAAAGATCAAAGTTTCAAATATTTAAATGAAAGCACGGTGCCTTTCATTTCAGTGGGAGCCAGGGAGGAGGGGGCACACACACCAGATGAGGAATTGACCCTGAATTTGCAGCTTGGAGGAGTTACTTTGAGCAATGACTCACAGTTGTAAAGCTTCAGGAAATGTGTTAACAATTCCCAGGCTCTATGTAGGAGGTTGCATTCCTCTGAGCGTGAGAGATGGGTACATGGAAATGACGGGCTATGCTGCTTTGCAACCTGACTCACAACTTGGCTTTGGCTCTGAGGAGAAGTCAGTCACCTACTGCAGATCCAGTCTCAGCAGGTGGGACAGCAGCACCAGGGGAGGAATGACACTGTCGGGAGAATAAAAGACTCGCCACAGCATGACTGGGAAGAAATAGCTGAGTGTGACAAACCCCTTCTGCTCCTTTGGGGGTGATAAAATAAATAGAAAGGGAGGGGAGGAAAAAAGCTGGAAACGCGGTGTGATGGCCAAAGACAAAGAACTGAGAAGCAGAGGTGGGGTAGAGCTGAACAAAATATGCAGGGGCTAAAAAATGCTGTTTAGGAGGACACTGAAATGATTTGCAAATTTCAGTCAAATTCCCCAGCTAGCTCTGGCTGATTAAAAACAAGACAAATGGGAATACTGAGAAGTTTCATGTCAGAGATTAATTTGGCAGCTCAGAAGCGCAGGAAGGGAAAGACAGCATGAAGTTGGGTAGCGGTACCACTGCTTCTCTTTCCCATTGTGTCTGTTTTGTGGGAGTTTGTGGGAGTCTGTTTTTTTGACAGTTTGAAACCAGAAGGAAAAGAGCGAGCTTTTAATTCAAAACACAACTGCTAAGGAGGTCCATGGACATGTTTTTTTTGATGGCATTGACAGGGGGAGATGTGTTCTTGTTCATCTGTGGAGAAGTAAAAGCTCCTGACTTTGAGCTTGGCCATCGCATGAGGTGAGAGGGACGCTTTTTAACTCAACAGAAGCAAGCAGATCTGGGAAACAAAACTGAACAAGAACAGAAACCCAAGCCCACCCTAAGAGCAGCTGAGCCCACTGTGGTGGGTGAGGGCTCCCTGAAGACCAGAGCACCCAGCCCGGGTGGGTGTGGGGTCAACTAAATCAGCATCTTCCCTAACACAGACTTGCAACTTTCCATCTGGGCCTTGGGTACCCCATTTAATGGAAGACATTGTGGTGTCTGCTTACCTCTTTTATCTGTCTCATCTTCTGCTCTTTCTGCAAGCTGCAGACTTGCTTTTGGAGACGCAGGTTGTGCTCCTGCAGCTGCCCGATCTTCTCAATCAGTTGGCAAATGTGTTCCAGGTATCCCAGACCAGATCCCAGGGCTTTGCTGTTCCCTTGGTTCACCTGCAATGACAATACAGCTTGGACCACGGAGTAACGGCAGAGCAATCCTTACTACCAGCTGGGAGCCCAGCACACTCCTTACAGTGCTGTGGGCTGTGGTAAAGACCTCAGGCTTCCTCTTGCAAGAGGCTTTGGTTGTAGCCAGATTTGAGCTATGGTGTTGTGTGCTCGCAGCCCTTTTCTGGATTACCCAGCAAGATGCTCCATCAGAGGGACTCTTCTGACTGATCACAGGCTGATGCAGAGGTAAAACTTTTGATGGCCTGTTTCTAGTTCAACCTCCCAGGCTAATTTTTATGTTTTACTGGCCATAACACACTTACAAACACAGTCCTATTGTATGGTATAGATGACTGGGGTTAGTATGGCTCATTTAGCCCACAGCCCTCTGCAAGTCATGTTAATGTCTACTGAGGCTAAGCTTGGCTCCTACTCAAAGGCACATACCAGCATGATGCAGTGACTTGCTGCTTTGTGACCGACTTGGGGGTACATTTTGTCTGCTTTGGCAATCTGCAACCATTACGGCACCGTTGAACCCAGACCCTCATCACTGGTAGGTCAGTGAAAGGGACATGTGCCTGAACCAAGCTGCCAAAGTGAAAGAACATCTTTCCACTGCCCTTTAGCAGTTCCCAGCTTATGTCTCTGCTGCTACGTTCTCAGTCGTTACGAGATGCCTGAAGAAAACCTGCAGGACAACAGGGATCTGCTGGAGAGGGTCCAGCAAAGGGCTACGAAGATGATTAGGGGATTAGAACATCTCTCGTATGAGGAAAGGCTCAGGGACTTGGGTCTCTTTAGTCTAGAGAAAAGAAGATTGAGGGGGGATCTTATTAACGCTTACAAATACTTAAAAGGAGGATGCCAGGGGGATGGGAGCAGTGTTTTTTCAGTGGTGACCAGTGATAGGACGAGGGGTAACAGGCACAAGCTTGAACACAGGAAGTTCCATCTTAACATGAGGAGGAACTTCTTTACTTTGAGGGTAGCGAAGCACTGGCACAGGCTGCCCAGAGAGGTGGTGGAGTCTCCCACTCTGGAGACCTTCAAAACCCGCCTGGGCGCTGTCCTGTGCAACCTGTAGGTGACCCTGCTCTGGCGGGGGGGGTGGACTAGATGATCTTCAGAGGTCCTTTCCAACCCTGACCATTCTGTGATTCTGTGACCAAGCATGCTGCCTGGCTACAGCAGGATACTCCGTACCACTGATCTCTCCCAGCCCATGACCTGCAGAGTCTCACTGCTGCTCAGCCCAGGGCAGTGGCAGAGGCAGACAGTAATCCTGTGGCAGAGGAAAGGCCACCGTGCTTCCCAGACTCCTGCTCCGCACCTCACCGCTTCTGGCCCCAGGACACAGCAAGTGTCCTCTCATGCGCCGTGAGCGGACTCTGCTGAACGTGCTGACAAATACATGCGGAGGCTCACTTCCACCTTGGCGCTGCCTGCTGATGTGCATGTGATATCAGTAAGTAAAATAAGCCTCGGTCTTTACAAAAGCAGTGCTCTAAGTTTATCTTACTTCAAAAAATAAGTTCCCTCTACAAAAGCAGGAAGCTTACTCTGTCTCCTTTCCCACAACAATCTACGTTTTTGGGGAAATGCCAGCCTTGGGACTCTTCCTGTATTTTCATTATGTCAGAAAGCTCATGGTGTGTTCAAAAATAATCAACATTAGGATTTACTTCTTTTTAAACAAATGATGATACAATGTTATTTATAAACAGGTATTATTATGTCCAGATGCTTTTGTGTCTGAGGTTGGGACAGAGGTCACATGAAATCATATGAAAAGCTGCGATGACTCCAAGCCAACCAGTCATTCACATTCATGATTTTTGTTTTGCTCTCGGGCAGAGCCTGCAGAAGTGGTGGCAAGGCAAAGGTTACTCAGCCATAAAACTGAGTTCTCAGCATGTCTGTGCAGTGGGAAGGGGCAGCCCCAGGACCCACAGGGAGAACAAAGCCCCTGTGATGCCTGCTGGGAAAAGCTTGAATCAAATGCATTATAACCAACATATCTGAAAGCTGCTAGGGATTTTGGGGTGCCCAGCTTCAGAAGCATGACTTTTCAGAAAGTACATGAGTATTAGCTTCTAAGGATTTTTTCAAAATTTCCCAAAAACAGGTAGTCAAAAGTTCCTCATTCTCCTTGAAAATGTGGGTTTTCTGCCACTCTGTACCATCTTTTTGCACATTTAACACCTTCCCTTTCTTCCAGTTTGCTGTTCCAGTGACTGATGGCATGTCTATATTGCCCTCTGGAGACAGTGAGCCAAATCCAACCCCTTTTATAGCTGTAGAAATACAAGGGAAGACTACAAGGGACACAGCAGCTCTTGGAAAAGAGGGTAAAGTAAAACATTTGGCTGTAACCTCGGGACTGGGGAGACAGAAGGAAGCACTTGACTGTCATCTCTTTCAGGCAGGGACCCTCTTTATATTTATCCAGTGCTTAACACTGTAAGGTCCTGCTTTGTGTTTGTGGCTGCTAGGTTTATATGGCAACATGGGCAGGGGAGGAGAAGACGTGGTGGCCCAGATTTCCAGTGCTCTGCGCCTAAGGCTGAAGGCACTTGAACGGAAAGGTGTTTTGGGCAGGCAGGGAGAAAATCTGGCTTTTAGCAAAAGTTAGAGAGAATGTCCAACTCCTGAGGATACAGGTCCCCAGAACAAAAAAAAAAAAAAAGAGGGAAAATATGTAGAGCAGTTGCCTCCAGGCCTTGGGGCAAGGGGGATTTAACCCTGTGGATGACCTAAACCAGACTGAAGGTTGGACCCAGTATGCTGGAGGTATGCTGGAAGCCCCTGTTTCACAGCCATCCTTCAGAGGCTGCTCAGGGCAGGCAGTTTGGGCTATTTAACAGAAAATTAATTTGCATTTTATTGAAGTGATCCAGGCAAGCGCAAATGATCAAAAGGCCAATCAGGCAGAGCCTGCAGCGCCTGCCTATCCCTGCAGGGTCAGCCACCTCTGTGGTCAGCATGCAAGGGTAAAAGCTTTTAAAGGGAATACTTCACCTTGCTTGCCCTGCCACGTGGCCCGTTAGCATCAGGATTGATCAGATATGGCAGGTGTTCAATACAGAATATCTGTGTAATTCAACTGGTTGCCCCAAAACGATTGCTCAGAGACGGCCTCTCCAGGGACCCTTCCAGGACTCTCTTTTCCATAGACTGGAAATACCTAGGCAGCCCTTTCTATCTTCTGGTCATGCCACGTACAGCACAGAACCTGCTCTGTCACATTCTGGTCTAAATATTTTCGTCTCAGCACCTGTGAGAGGGTTTTACGCTGGCAGTGGAGGGTGAGCAACCATAGGAAAACTGCAAACATTTTCCAGTCTCTTCCAGTCTCTGTCCTCCCAGTTGAAGCTTCCCAAAACGTTCACCTAACGAGACTGAAGTTTTTCCCATTCCCCACACAGGGACTGTCAAATAGTATTGGAACAAAAAGCATGTGCCCATTTTTGAGTTGATGAAACCTATGAAGGATGAAAAACATCTCATCTACTTTTTTGAAGGTGAAGATGCAAAGGATCAGACAAACCTAATTTATGGTTTATCAGATGGTTAACCAAAGAGATGGTTAAAGTTGCACTGGGAAAGTAACAACATAATGTATAAATAGGTGCCAGATTTTGCTTTCAGGTACATCAGACTGAACCAGACCCTCAGCTGGAAGAAAAGGAATCCAAAGCTCTCAGCTATACTGTGCTGAGTTACTCCCACTACAGTTTTGACCCTGCGGAGTTAAGGTGCACTACACTGACTTTACACTTGTGGAATGAAAAAGAGATCTCTAGCCTTGTGAGTACTTACCTAACTAAGTTTTGGGGATGAGTTTTCAGTGCATGTATCCCTGTTCAGCTGGCAATAAACCATCGCAGTTGTGCTGGCCCACAGATCTCTTAGGAAGCTTAAAATACAGGATCATCATCTGCACTGAGAACTTTGGCTTACCTAGAGCCCTCCAGTCAATATTTTGACTGTTGTAAAATCACATTTTTCTCTGAAGCCACCAGAGTCACCGAGGTGGGAGCCTGTCCCTCTGTGTGTGTGTGTGTGTGTAACATCATGCTCCCTGTAGCATCTGAGTACTACAAAGGTTTGAAGTTCAGTGGGAGCTGCAATAAAGATGGTTGTTTTCAAGCCTCTTGTCCAACTGAGATATAACCAAAATCTGCATTTCTGATCATCTCATCAGCACTGCGTCCTGCCTAATTTCAGCCATGATCTCTTACTTTGATGTGTGCAATGGGCTTTTCTTCAATTGGGCTCAGTGGAAAATTGTCCTGGGCTGGACCTGGCAGCAGGAGCCGAAGCTGACGGGTAGGACTAGCTTGCAGGAGAAGCTCTTCATTCAGACAAGAGCTTGCTGATGTTTCCTGCAGTGACTTAGGTTTCTGCACTTCATGCAGTGCTCTTCGCTTTCTCTTGTAGATAGCTTTGAGTTGTACCATCGTCCATCCTCCCATAAATCCCTCACTGCCCACTCCTGCCGCATTAGCATGGCCAGTACGGAGGCAGTACGGTCACTGTGCTGACAGCCACCGAATGTAATTACAATCCTCCCATCATGGGCTTGGAGCAACCGATTAGTGACGCCGCAGACTGAGCGGGAAGCATTTGTCACTGGAAGCTGACAGCACCAAAAGGCTTGTGAATAACAGGAAAGAGAGGGATCGTGCTGTATATTTCTGACGGCTCCACCCTGTTGTCCAGGAGGAGCTGCGCTTACTGATAGCTTCTGGTTTCCTCCGAGCGGCACGCACAGGCTATGGGGCTCACCATCACAGGTTGCCCTATCCTTCCCTTGAACCGTACCGCTCTCCGCAGAGAAGTGTTTTGACTGCTTTGGCCCAGAAGAATTAGCGCTGTGTGAATAATGGTGGGGTTTTTTCATTTAATGACGACAATGCTCCCACCCTCTCTCTTCTTCTACGGGTATGGGCTGACTTTAATGTAAACTTTATGGAGTGTGAGGAAGTGTTTCCAAAGCAAAAGCATCAAAAGCTATGTATCTTCAAACTGACCCCAAACATTTAATTTGGCTTAAAAGGAAATGCTTTTATTTAGGCTTCAAAGTTCTTTCACTTGTTGTTTGACAGCTTCCACTTTCTTTCATCTTTCTAAACGTAGGCAAATTTCAAAATAATGGCAGTTCAAAACAAAAGATCAGAAACCTTTGTTTAAGAAATGCCAGACTAAAATGATTTGATGTGTATTTTCAGCCAAAGCCATTCACCAAATGAATCCAAACGGTCAAAATATTTGGTCATTTTCAATCTCTCTTCTTCAGCAGTTTCCTTCCTGTTCTCTTGGAAGTGGCCTTGGCAGTGGGGGAGGCCAGCATGACATCAAGGGACATCCTCATCCAGAGACTGAATCCTTCCTTGCTCGGCTGTGGCATGCTGGTAAGCACAGTGCCCTTGGCATTGCCACAGCCAGCCAGGCTGGGGAAACACAACTGCTCCCCTGTTACCTGAAAGTTGTATTCCCAAAACCAGCAGCAGACCTGAGAAAGTTGCTGTCATCTATAGTTCAATAATGCTCTCACCTGGCATTAAACATAAGCCAGTAGAAGCACTCTTGCATCTCTATCAATATTTCTACTGAGATGGGTAGTGGAACAATTTGGTTTGCCGTGTTCTTTGCCAAGCAGAGTGGGAATACCCTGTACTGGCCTGATAGCTTTCAGACAACACTGATTGCATTTCCAGGGGTGTCCGAGTCCCTGAGATGACATCAGGACAGACAAGAGATTGGCTCCTAAGTACCGTGTTGCATCTCGGACAGGTTATGGCCAAATGCGATAGCCACAGAGTAAGCCTGGAGCAGAGCCTCAGCTGGGGTGAACCAAGATGCATCCATCAGCTGATGGATGCAGATGATCATCTGGACATCATTTCTGAGTGGGTCTCACTCTGTGCTGCCTCTATTGTATGACAGTGAGGACAGGTCAACCCGGTGCAGGTTTGGGGAGGGCAGAAGGCTCTGCAGCTGCAGGAGGCTGTCCCTGGGCTCTGCCGCAGGGCTGTGCAGCAGTCGGGGGCATTTCGTGCCCCGGTCAGCCTGGGCGCTACCTGGCATCCCAGCAGTTTGAAGAGTGCTGCTCTTGAGATGCTGCAGCCTGGAGGTGCTCTGTGAAGAGGGGCAAACTTCCCCAGCATCTAGGTCACAGCTGTATTTATACAGCTCGAAAAACAAACAAAGAAAAGTGCTCTGGGGCACAGAGCTTTAGCACTCAGCCGGTGAGGATATTAAAAAGGAGGGGAGATAAGCCACCAAGAGCTTCATTTCCTCTTCAGCTTCTTTCTAATTTATTCTGTTGTTTATTTAAATGCTCTGCGCGTTTGGAAACTGCTCCATTTCACAAAGGACTTAAGGGAAGGGAAACTGAGGCTCCATTTCACAAAGGACTTAAGGGAATTTCACGGGCAGCCAGAGCTGTCAGACAAGACCAAGCTGGCTGCAAACCCTCTGGAGCACGACAGAGAATTTAGGTAACTTTTTATAAAGTCTCCTGGTATTCAAACTCTCCTGCTCCAATCTTTTTTTTTTTTTTTTTGAACTCTCTGCCAAAAGGCCAGGTTGCTGTCTGTTTGGGAACTGTGCAAAATAGACATCTGTCTTCTGCCATGTGTGAGATGGCCCTGGGGAGGAAGAGGTTGCTGAATTGGATTGGATGGTGCTCGTGCTGCCTCGATATGTGGTGTTAACAAAGGTGGGCCATCTCTGACCTTCCTCACTACTCGGGAGGGTTTGGCATGCTGGAGAGGAAGGCCATCGCCTGATGGTTCAAGGCCCATGCAGAGAGAGGTCATGGTGAAATTACACGCACAGCACACAGCACTTGTCACTTGGCTTCCTCCCACCCATCTCCCATTCCAATTCATCACTATTACAGCAATGAATGCCCCGAAAAGGAATCCCTGCGATGCGCTGTTTGATATTTTTGTTGTGTGTGTGTGACCTTCTTCACCTAGCCTGCCCCCTCCTTTCCTTTTGCTCACGGGGCTTTTTGGTCTCTCAAGAATCACCTCCCCAGTTAGACCTTTCCGTCGCTGGTTCACGGAAGCCACTGCAGCGGGCAGGCACGGCAGTGTCTGCACGTCGGCGGCGTGGGGCCTCAGGCAAAGCACTGTGGGGAGCGCTTGCCAGCATCCACTATGGGACAAGGTGCACAGAAGGGCTTTTTGTTTTCCTCTCAGTCACACAGTGTACCCAGCAAGGGGGAAGGTGTAGGACAAGCTGCTGAAAATCTTACGTATTTAAAGTTTGGTCAGTCTCAGAACACAGGAGATCTCCATAAATTGGGATCTCCATGCCCAGCCCAGCAAAGATTTGAATTTGTGCGTTAGTTCCCTGCTCACTCATTATTCGAGAGAGCAGGCTCAAGAGGACAGGACAGGCCTGGACAGGAATGAGCTACCCCTTAGACAAGTTCCTTCCAAACTCCAGCGCTCCGACAGCAGTCCAGCTTTTCCCAGGAACAGGAATAACCTGACCTTGAAAAAGAAACTGTGTTCTGATCCCCGTCTTATGTATCAGAGGATGATGACTAACTTTATAATCTTCATTTTAAGACCAGAATCAAGTCCATTCTCTTATCTAGGGCTTTTTGAAACATCAGAACTCCATGAGCCATTAGTCATCCTTACCCAGACCCAATATATGCGAATTACTTCAGAATTTCACTGCTATGAAAAGAGCTCTTAAAAATCCATTGCCAAGATCTCCTGCTTGCAACGGTTTCAGGAGATTTCCTAACTCACTCAGATGTGCCCTAGCTCGTGACAGACGATAGGACTTGAACTCTGACTGAGGTATTTGGAGAGGCCTAGCTATAAGATTCAGTTTAGGTGTCTCTTACCTCACTCAGTCTACAGCATTCATCCATGTATTCATCCAGACTGTCACTTGTGGGGTACTTCTTCAGCTGATGACCATGGATCTGAAGGTCTTGCATGCTGCCAAAGTTCTCTGGGAAATTGTCAGCAATTGTCTTTGGCTCTTCTATGGGAGCTGGGGTAGGAAGAGCGCTTTCCCTGGGAAGGTCTGTCTCTGGGGTAGGTTCCTTTTCCAGAGACTGTCTTTCGCTTTGGTCAAAATGTTTACTGGGACTTTCTTCCTGAGGGACACTGAAGTCTTCAAGGGGAGCTGTAGGACCCTGCACAGCACCTGCCTCCTGGCTGTAGTACTCAGCTTGCTTTTCACTCTCTGGCTCTTGGTGGCTGGCTTTTCTGGCATGCTCTTTACATGTTCTCATTATCAGATGGTCAATTTCTGGAGAAGAAGAGGTGCTAAGCACGCCTGAGTCACAAAAGGAGTCTCTGCTGTGAAGCACAAAGCTCTTTTCTGAACCCGTTGGGGTTGATGGAGAATTAGCCCCGCTTGGCAATTCAACCCCGGAGTCCTCAGATTCAAATTTGGAGAATCTATGAAGTCGGCACTTGGACTCGAAGGCGCTGAGGTCAGGCAGTGTGGCTACATAGTCTGTGCTTGCCGGGCCATCTGCATAGTCTGGATCTGCCGGTGCAGCTGCTGCGTTCGGATTTTCCTGGCAGTCCGGTGGGAGGCTGGCGCCGGGGAGATGGGACTCTTCTGTGCAGGCTGTGTCAGCTGGAGCCTCTGGGATTAACCCTGGGTTTTGAATTCCTTCATTGCTCAGTATCTTCATATGTGTTAGCACGACTTTGTCCTCAGCAGGTGGGCTCCTCTTACCTGCTTAAAAGAAAACAAGCAGAGGGTCACAAGAGGCTACAAAACTCAGTGTATAGTGCATCCCTTGAGGGGTGTGAAGTGTAAACCTGTCTATAGTAAGGCGGTAGAGGGGGGCAGCCCTGATTTGTTTTTCTTGAGCTATATGAAGCTTTCTTGTAGGTTTGCTAGAACAGAAATGTTGTGTTTCATGGCCCCAGAGTCCTTTAGGGGGAGTCATAAATGCACACGGGGTTCTGATTTAGTAGGTCGGTAGAAAACAACACATATAGCCAGATAACTTTTTTGTGATTACCTGTGCACAGACGCAGAGAAGTACATTTTCTTTCAGCATGACAGACATTAGTTTAAGGCTAAAATATTTCCTCTGATTAAATGTATTCTGAACCATCAGAAGAAAGGGTCAAAAGAAATCTGTCTTTCCGCAGGCTTAAGAGAATTTTGGGTTGCAACAAGCAATTTGCAAACTGTTTGGTATTCTTTGCCGTATTCTCTGTACACATACAGGTGACGAAAAGCAAGTACTGATAGAAAAAGCAAACAAGGCACTGTAGATCTTTTTTCACTCCCTGTATGGTTTTAGCTATGAAGTAATTTCTTTAAATGAACTCTTACCTTCTTTGTAAAGAGAAAGGAGAGCGGGGCAGCTCTGTTCATTAGTTTTTTGCACATCAACAAAGACGACTTGTTTTCACATCACAATTATTTCACATGGCAATGTGGTAGAACAGTCTCTGGACGAAAGGCTGATCTACAGGAGTTGAAGATCTGCCCCCAGGTTTTCTTACTGTTTTTCTGAATCTAATATTTCTCAGTGCAGACTTCTGCTTCACACTGGTATGAGAGCCAGTGTCAACGCTCTGCGTCCACCCTTTAGCAAACCGCAAATCTCAGCTCCAAGCCCATCTGTTAGTGCATTTGGGACCAGGAAATGCTGCAGTACAACAATTCCGTTTCTCTGGTATATCTTCCCTTATTACTGCCTGACCCAGAGCACCTCAGAGGGCTACAATGCATACACTTTTCAGGATACTTTACTTCCTACTCCATTTCCTTTCATTTCCCTCTCCTACTTCCTTTGTTTTTGCCTGACATCAAACCAGCCGCTGCTTTACAAGCTCACTCCCGGTAAGGTAATTATCCCTAAGTAGGCAGGTTTGCCTGGGACCCCCTGCTAGCAGTAGAGCGGGGAGAGCTCTGCTGTGCAGCTCTCATTCACGGTAACCCAGAAAACTCCCCGTTTCAGAAATAACCTGTTTTCCAGCCTTCCCTCTTCCAGCTTGCTTTCCGCAACGTCCACAGACAAAGGAGACTTTTACTCATTAAGGCCAAGCTAGCTATTAAATGAATAATTTTCTATTTTATTTAAATTCCTTCTATTTGATCTTGAGAATTTCTTGGGAGAGCACTGAAATGTGCCCTTTACTGTCCATAGGCAGCCATAGATTCAATATTTTACACTAGATTTTCAAAAGGGCTCTCAGTGATAAATAATCCCATCTGATGGGCTTTTTATGGCACTTGGGCATGTAGTGCTTATAACCCCTTACAGAAGATCTTGTTTATCATACACAGAATTGCAACTGCCTCCCTTGGCAGGATTCACAGCCATCTCTCCACTGTAAAGAGCCACATTTGGGACAGTCAGTGCCAAACCGTCTGCAGTGCCACACCAGTACATTGCTGTGGCAGGGGACAAGAGAAAGACATTGCCCATGGAAGTACCAGAGGAACGCTCACCAGGAGCTGCCTGTGCTGGGCTGGGTACCAGCCCTCCCACTCTTGGGATGAGCGTGATGGACCCTTAACTGAGGACCAGGAGGCTGGTTTGCAGCTTCACACACAGCAAAACAGGGAGGTCGGTGCCAGGTCTTGGAAAGAGGAGGTGGAGCTGAGTCGTTACTGATTTGGAGTGAAGAGGACCTTCCTGCTCAGCTGCAAACACCTCTTGGCAGCAAGAGGCAAAGAGTTGTATCTGTATGAAAAACAGAAGGCGTACAGGCTCTTCTGATGGCATCACCACCCCAGATGGCACAACAAAACCACCGAGAGTCAGGAGGAGAGCAGTTGCGTTGCTGCACTTCCTTTTTAAGAACAAATCATACAGCTGTCACTCTTACCAGGAATTACTCTATGCAATGGTAGTCCCTTCCCGCAGACTTTGATTGCATTCACTTATTAATCATGCCATGCTTTCCTTTGATTGGAGATTCTCTGTCTTTCAATCTGCCCCTATTTTTCTTGCTTAACCGGTTTCACCCTGGCCTACACAAATATTTCTTTGTCTGAAATCAGGAAGCAGCATATTAAAATGAGGTCTTGCTGCTTACAGAAGGAGATGTCAGATGCTTTAATTCGTATCTTTTATAACTACAAAAGCTACAATGTGTATCAGAAAGCTTGGCTGGGGTAGAAAAAATAAAAAATGAGATTAAATCTCTGACCCTCTGCATCAGGGTCCCCTTGATGCCAACAACCCCAGTGCTGAGAAAGGTCTGCGCTCTGGACAACACAGTCCTTTGCTGCTCCCATCCTGCGGTCACTAGCAACATTGCACGGTTTCACAATTTCTCATTTATCTGTTCTAGGCTGCAAACCATTGATCTTGGCACTGGCAGGTCCTGGTAACCACAGTGTTTGAGCATTTCTGATTTATCCTCCCAACCCCTTGCGATGATGCAAAATGCTATCATCTCCCTACCACAAGTTCAGAACTGATGCAAAGGACGGCAGGATTTTGTAAGATGCTTAGGCACCTTGTCCTCACTCATTCAGTGATACTTTCCCATGGTCAATGAGGTCATCTGTGCTACAGCAGAGAGATCTCCCACGAATAAGGCAGCGACCTGAAACTCGAGTTTTTCTTGCTGCACCTCACTGATGGAACAGTCTCTTCTTCCTCTCAGTTAACTGGGTTGTGGAATCTAAACCATGGGACTTCCAACAAGCAGATTGTTTCTGCTACAGATCTTGAAAGAGGCATACAAAAATGCAGCTTTTGCAAGCATATTGCCAACAAACACCAGAATGGTGCAATTAAAGCTCATCTGTGCAATTACAAAAAAAAAAAAAAAAAGAAAAAAGTGAGCCAGACCCTCAGCTGCTATAAATTAGCTCGTTACCAGGGCCCCTAACAGAATTGTTTCAGCTAATTCTGGCTGGGAATTTGGCCTGTAAGGGCTTTGTACAACAATACCAGGGCCCCAGAGCAAAGCAGGGAAGATGGACTCCTGCCTGGCACTGGAGGGAGCGTGCGGCAGGGGTACGGTTACAGTGCTGCGTGGAGGCTTCTGAAAGGAGGTGTGAAGAGCTTCAGAGAGCTGAACGGCGGCACGAAGGTTGGTAAGATGTATTTACTTGTGCTGGAGGCCAGCCAGGTTTGACACTGCTGCTCCTGGGAAATCAGCCAAGATTTTTTTTTGTTATTGTTGTTTTTTGTTTCCTTTCCCCTGGACTGGTTTTCCACACCCCTTCTGGGGTGGGGGTAAGGTACCGAAAGATGCTGCTTTCAGGCAGCTGGCTGGGACGCTGGCATAGCAGCAGCGGAGTTGTGTGTGTGTGCTTAGGAATCAGTATAGCTTCCTGCAGCATCTTTGGCAACGTGTGCCCCGGCCAAACATCGTCTCGGGTTAACTCCTGCTATTTGCCCAGTAGCGCTCTCAAAGGGTTATATGGCTCTGTAACCACACTAGAGATAAGCAGGGTTTAAACGGGGTTCTCCGGGTTGTAATAGAAGCCCGTAACTGACGGTGACTGATTATGTGTAACCTTGGGCGAGTTGTTGTACTTTCTGTGCTTGTACAGTTGGAGAGTAAGACTGCTTTCCATCTTGTAGGGAGGTGGTAACAGTGAACTAGCTAATATCTGAAGGTAATTAGTAGGGAGTGAAAGGAATTGATGTGTCCCAGCTAAGTTTCTAGAACTTTGCTTTGCTTCATTTCCAAGTTGCTTTCTAGGATACTTCTCTGTTGGCAGTTAGCAAACCCTAGCAGAGAAACTTAAATCCTACAAAGGTGGATATGCTCCCATCAGCTGGTGTGCCAAGGCTTTCCTTTCCTTGGGGTTTTAAGTCCAAGTGTATTTTTCCTGTTGCACAATAACTAGGAGCTGCCAGGGCACAGCCTAGAGCATTAATACAGAGATTCCTCACCTGAGGAAGGAGGGTGGGTATCTAAATACAAAATTGCTTTCAAGCAGCTTCTTTACCCCAAGTAAGTTGCCCACAAGAAATACGCTCAAACAACTGCCCAGGTAAAACTCCTAGGCGTTCCCAGTCTTGCCCAGGCCTAATTCCTGCAAAAGCTCCCACCTCTCTAGTAAACCAAGCCAAAGTCTGCATTCAAATCCCTGTGCTCTAAAGCATTGAAACCAAGGGCCAGGTTTTTTTTTTTGCCTCTATGCCTGTGGCTCAAAGCCATGTTTCACCTGGCAATTCCTTCAGTGCAAGCCCTGTTAAGTTCTGCTGCATCCCTGAGAGGGGTCCTTGGCCTCTGATGCACTGATTCGAGTATCATAGCACATGGTCTTCTGATGCATCTGGCTAATGGAAAAACTGGTGGCGGGAAGAGGCCAGGCTCACAGTGGGAAGAGCACTGCTAGTGGCAGTGCAGAGCTATACCATGCAGT